ACCTATCATAATAATAGCGATTAATGATTTAAATAATCTCAGAGTAATGTCTATGATAATTAATTGAATACTAACGTCTGAACAGTAAAATTGACAGATAATAAGAACAGTGCAATCGTTTCCGTACCTAAATTTTTCTAAAGAAGAAACATCAGATTATTAGAAGACGAACAGGAACAGGTAATTATACACAACAGGATTATACAAAACAGGATATAAGAGTACGAGTAACAATTTGTGTTCGGAATTGTAAAATTCAAGTAGATCGCAATTTAAACCCAATTGAGCAACTACGTCGCAAAGTTACTTCAACCGTGTAACGGGAAGTAAAAATTGTTTAATTTGCGTTTTATTTGCTTTTGTCTCTTTAATTTCGATTAATTAACGACATTTTTACCGCTTAGGGCCCCCACTGGCCTTAATCCGTCGCTGGTTTTTCTGAGTATTCAGATGGATTAAGGAGGTTCAGGGGTATCATCGGGTGGCGTGAGGGACGCGGGGAGGTGCCTATCCTTTAACATAGGACAGCAGCAGGGATGACAACTTAAAATAAATTATTGTATACGATCCGAAAACAATATTTTACATAAAAAAATTATGTAAAAGACGTTTACAATGTTATAGATAATGTTTTTAAACATGTGTACGCAATATGATGACTTTCTTTTAATAAATTTTCTAAATTGGAAAAGTGAAAGAAAATCGAACAAATTTGGCAACAGCACATAGATATATTTGTACGTTGGTACTGACTGATGGTCTCGCACACTCAAGTTCGTTAGGTTACGCACACACGGACAAGTGTCTTCGTGAGTCGTGCTGTTGCCACATCTCTTACTAAGCCGTCCATGATTTGAAATGCAGTAGTCCGTGATGCTAAATTATTGTTAATTACACTGCAAATTGAACGGTAACGTACCTTGATAAAAATATTAAACGATTCCTGTTTATTTTTTCTATCAATATATATTAATAAGTTTCGATTCTCTACGTATTTTCAACTTGATTTTCTATTCTGAACAGTCAGAATATTTGTATCCCATAAGGAACCGTGTAAAATAAGCAAATTTCAAAAGCGTTTTTCTCAAATATAATTTGGACAAAAAATTCGAAAAAAATATTTTGGTTTTGTTATGCAATAAGGAAACATATTCTTAAATTTCATGCTGATCTCTACGTTTTTATAAAACCCCCGAACCTCCTTAACTTATTCAACTATGTGCACAAAAGATTCTTAAAAAATTGAAATTGGTAGAAATCGTAAGGAAAAATGTGAAGGTAACGTTTTTCAACTTTTTATCTCGGCTTGTAATGAAAATTTTTGACCATTTATAGGAGAATAGTATATGCTGAAAATTTCATTCGAATTGGTTACCATTGTTATGAGCTAGAATTAAATAAATAAGTTGTATAAATCTACGTGTTTCAGTGTCTGTCGCTTCGTTCAGTATCGATGAGTTTCATAAAATTTTCAATAAATTAGTGTGTGTGCAGTTTTGCTCTTAACTTTAAATTGCAAATTGATATGCTAGTTTACACAAAATTAATGTTCCAATTTTCTTTATTTGATTTTGTTATAGTATGATCTGAAAAAATTCTCAAATATTACTTGTACTAAATATTACATTAATACTCATACTTTTCTGAATATTATATTGAAAACTTATATTTTTTATCATTTTCTGGACACTGTAATTGCTAACAATGTATACAATACAAATTGTGAATTAATATATAAATAATTGCATTAAATAAAAAGATTATACATATCAATATATTATCAAAAATGCAAAATCGCTTATTTTTCCAACATTCTCAGCATACTTTAAAAATATAGCAACGCTGCTTATAAATGCATCTAATCTAATTTAAATGTTTGTCTGTGATATGTAGACATGAATAACCTCTAAAATTGTACGATAATTTAGAATGGATTAAAAAATCATTAATTATTATTTGTTAACTGTCTTATATTTTTTTTGTGTACCGTCTTTAGAAAGTATCTATGAATGCGATGTTGCCAAATCAACCAGAATACATATAATAGCAAAATCAAATATATTCAAGCTTTTATTCACTTATGTACAGAAAATAAATCTTCGCCATAAGATTACTGGAAGTTAATTTAAAATTCAATACTGAATTTAATATATATTATTCACGTACAATAAATATTATACTCGAAAAGAATTTGATTTATATACATTAAATTGAATTCGGAGTCTTAAAAAAACCAACTCCATGTGTAGTACTATCATTATAAGATAAACATATAGGTTAAAGTACTGAGAAGTTCGGTAAGTAATTTAAATAATTTACATAATATAATTTACATTATACACTATAATTTCGCATTTTAATGATACTGTGGATCTTCAATTATAGTTAGTGCTACAGAAGAGAAGCTAGCAAACTAGTACAGTCACGTGCATTTAAACGTGCACTTCGATTCTGTTTTATCGTCGAATCATCAAGAATAGTATTGAAGAACAAGATCAGTCTCGTTCGATTTGGTATATAAAAAGTATGTCGACAAAGAGCAAGGCAAAGAATGCTTACTATTTCTTCATGCGTGACTGGAGAGCTGAACAAAATACTCCACATAGAAGTTTCGAAGAAATTGCTGCAGATCCCAGATGTAACGAAGAATGGAAAAACCTTCCATCGATACGCAGAGACCAATACGAAGCTCTCGCAAAAGAGAACAAAATTCTGTGTCAAAGAAGTTTAAGCAAAAACTCTGCGTCCAGGAAAAATTTGAGGGAAATAGAGGAACAAGAAAAACGAGAGGAAGAGTTTCGACATAATATGTTGCAGTATGTATCCTCTGTTGTATCGATGGGACTAAAACATGACAATTTGGAAACGCTGAAATTCCTATTTATACACGTGAACTGGTTTTATATAAAGAGTATAGGAATGAACAAGTACGAGTACGGCCCTGCTGAATTTGCAGTCGCAGAGTTCAGTCTGAAGAATGGAATACAGAACGTGTACCATGAAATATTGAATATAACAATACCATTAGGATGGATGAGGGAGGCGATTGAAACTAGTAAAGAGACGCACCAAATACCTGTAAATTTTTCAGAAGGAGAAAGTGACTTCTGTCTCATGTATACGAAGTTGGTTAAGCTTTTAGAATCCTACAAGACCGAAAACAAATTTCCTCCTCTATTCACTGTAGAGAGTACGACGAATGCTGTCAACTCATTGCTACTCATGATGACTGAAGCTGCTAATCGATCTATTGATGAGTTTCAAGTTTATTCATTGGAAACATTGTTCGCAGAATTGCGAAATGTCATTGTGAGAAAGACAGAAGGCCAAAGTATTCCGCTTGTCATAGCTGAAATTGAATTCGGAAAAGACATATTTAACTTCACCCCTGGCGCTGGATGTTATTTTCACAAATTACTGGACAACGGGTCCCAGTATTGCAGCAAATCCGTAGTTACGCGATGGGGATATACTATATGCGACTATTGCTGCATACACATGAATATAGACATGGTCGAAGGTGTCCATTATCCGAATTCACGAGTAGATCATCAACAGTGGAATGACAATGGTATTGACGAAGTAAGTGCTCGTATGGAGTAACTGAGCACTGAGCACAGTAAGCAGAAAAATGTTCTTGAAATGGACGAATATTTCGAAAGCATAAAGTTAAAGTATCTGAACTAACACATGCAGAAGAGCTATGCGAGTAATGTAAACCGTTGGAAATAATTAGCATAGCAAATTTGGGGAAAGCAATAGTTCGACCTCATACTTTGTGTATTTATTATGTCAGCTGGCAAAAACGAAACCGATCTCTCAGATATCGATAGGAAATGTTCACCCGTTGAATGAAGTCAAATTTTCGTTGATAGGAAGAAGAATTGGGATTACAAAGGTAATGAAAGAAATGTAATCTTTAGGAAAGGGACGCACTTGTTAAATATAAAGCTTTTAACAAATTAAAAAGGAGTATATAACTATGCTTGTTTCATATAAACTTCAAAATTATTTGGAGTCACTATTTGTTAATGTTTTACATACTTACGTACAATATGTAAGTAACAAACCTTCTATATGAATAAACTATGATTTCCTACTTTGACATAAATTAGAGTGTAAACTATTTTTATTTTATCTGTGTTCTCATTTATATTATTAATAAAACTTATTTTGGTGTATCAACGAGAATATAAATGTTCACCACCATAAATAACATATTAAAATCGAAAAGTAGCACAAGAAGAAGCATGGAATAAACACAAGATATTTGATTTATTGCTATATGAGAACAATCTACACCTACGTGACGCTAATGTAGTTTCAAATGTCGTGATAATAGATGGCAATGATAATATTCATATTAATCATAACGCAGATTGAATAGCATTATTAGTTACACATTTATGGAAAAATTAGACAGTCACCCAAGCCATCTTGATGAAATAATTAAGACGTGAATCATATGTTACTTCGTGGTTAAGA